CAATCCATTTAGCCTGTGTGTACTTAGGACAAATCTTAATGAGAATACTTAATATTAGGGACAAATTTAGGGGTGGGTCTTCAGTTTTTCGGTTCGGTTCGAGTTATTCGTTTTTTTTAGTTATTTGGTTTCTATAAAACTGATTCCATTTGGTTTCAAATTTTAATTCGGTTTAGTTCGGTTTGGGTTTTCCAGTTTTTGGTTTACAAAATTAGATCTCATCCGGGATCAAATTAACTAATATTAATTGATATTATAAATACTTAGTGTATTTTAATAATTTTCCTATATACTTATTTAGTTTAAAATATTAGTTTTTAATATGAATTTTGGTCATTTTGGTTAAATCGGCTCGGTTCGGGATCGAGTAATTCGATTTTGAAATTTCTATTTCATTTGGGCTATTTTCTAGTTTGGTTCGGGTTTGAGAATTTCAGTTTGGTAATTTTGTCCACCCCTAGACAAATTACCGGACCGAGCAAAATTCTTGAATCCGAATTGAAATTTTTTAAAAACCGAATAGAATAAAAATTTAAACCAAATTATCCGTTCTTGAACCAAACCAAACTAAATTAGCTAAAAATATTAAAATAGTATTTTTAGTTAATTAAAAAAAATATATTAAAATATGCTAAATATTTACAATATTAATTTAATTTCGTTAATGAATCTTAAATGAGATATATTTTCTAAAAATTTAAAACCCAAAAAATCATATCAAATTAAATTAAATAACGGAATGCCCACCTCTACTTAATACTTTAATAAATACGATTGGTGATAAAAAAAAACCGTTAACGAAATAGTTAGAAGCTCATGGCCCTCCATCCAAATTGGCTACTGAAGTAGTCAGCCATTTGATTTGGTGGGTCTCTCTATGGGCTATTGGGCAATGAAGATGTATGGACAAAAAGCCCATGGCCCTACATCCAAATTGGCTACTGAATTTTCTAGAAGATCATTTTCCACGTTTTCCATCTCATTATTCATGAAGTCCAAGCTCAGGTCACGTTTTTACTACTCTGATATGTTTATTGGGGTTAAGACAAAAAAGCTGGATTTAGCATGAAATTCTTCTGAGTCATATACCTTCTATATTGTGAGAGGATCAAAGTTTTCTGGATTCTCAAATCCCGTAATTTGTGAGCTCGATATCTACTCTATTAAGAGAATATCAAAGTTTTCTGGATTCTCAAATCATGTAATTTACTCCCGGTTGAAGAGTTTAATTCGACCATCTTCCAGCTTTTGGAGACTGGTCGTATCTTCTTCCCTCTCGGTGAGAATGGTCGAATCCACGTGCTTTATGCCGGGACCTTCAAAGTCACATTGGAAAGTGACCAACATGAGAATCTCCGGATTTACCGCGAATACCCTCTTGACGCATCTGAGACATGTCTTGGATCCGTTGTCCATCATCTTCTGCGATGATCTATCTGTTCTATGTTTTATTTCATTTCAATTATGTTGAATTAAAAGCTTAATTCTCACTCTTTGTACTTTGATCGTTTAAATGAATGAAGTAAACTTATTGACAGAAAAAAAAAAAGAAATAGTTAGAAAATGCAAGAAAAATTGGTAAGAAATTTAACATATATAATTCAAACCAAGAAAAGTACTTGAAAAAGGATCATAAAAATATCTTAAAAGGTGATATAAACGTAAGTAGTAATTTGAAAACAGAAAGCCAAGAAAAAACAAAAATACAAGCGTCGAGATTTATGAAGCCCTTAACACTCACTTGCATAGGTATCACATTCTCTACATAATCTACAAAGATGTGACCATAGGAAGCTTTTTATATGCTTTGAATCTTCGTATTTTGTTTTTTTCCGGATGGTGTTCTTTTCAAGATTGTAGTAGAAAACTGTAAAGAGAGTACGAGGACAACACCATTTCAAATATAATAGCCAATTCAAAAAAATATAGACCGGGGTCATCAAATTTCAGATACCAATTGGGGAATTTGTATCCACAACAAGAACTTTTTAATATTTTCCTGACTTCGTGACGATTCTGATCATTATTTTGAGCATAAAGTAATCCTAATTTC